ACTTCAAGCATCTTCTAGCTTAAGTAAAAGATCTTCCTTTTAACAATCTCTTTTCTTGTATTTGCTAAAGATCTGTGTGTAACCAAAGATTGTTTAGATAGGTTTTCTTTACCTTATCTTTCCGCAAACAGTCTTGTAAAATCTGTATTGATATTCTCTATCAATATATATTTTAAATTTGAAAATACTATGTTTGTATTCATCCCCCCCTTCTGCAAACTGTTTCTATTCTTGTAGACCCTTACAGGACCAACTAAAGTTTTCTTCCATTTGTTTCTCCTTCTAGTTATTTTGTTATCTTTCATGTTATCTAATGGCTATATAAAGCCCAATTTTTTCCTTGAATAAAGCAAGGTTTTGGCTCTCAAATTCTTGTAGTTTGTTTTTTAAGGTTCAAGCTTCCGACAAAGTGGTATTAGAGCTCCAACACAAGGCTTGATCTCGTGCGAGAGAAATAGCAGATTTCTCAGTTAGAAAGATCGGGAAAAGAAATGGCATCAAATTCAGAAGCTTATGTGCAAGCTGCCATACCCAAATTTGAATGTTACTATGATTATAGGGTTATGTTGATGGAAAACTTCTTGAGGTCAAAGGAGTATTGGTCATTGATCGAGGAAGGAATTCCGACAGTTGCAAATGGTAAAGCACTAACAGAGGTACAAAAAAAGATTATTGATGATCAGAAGCTGAAAGATCTTAAAGTGAAGAACCATCTCTTCCAATATATTGATCATACGATAATGGAGACAATTCTCTCGAGATATATGACTAAGGATATATGGGATCCCATGAAGCAGAAATTTCAAGGTTCAACTGGTGTGAAGCATGCACAACTTCAATCATTAAGGAGAGGGTTCGAAGTTTTGCAGATGAAGGAAGGGGAGCAGTGGAATCAGTATTTTTCAAGAACACTCTCCATTGCGAACAATATGAAGACACACAAGGAGAAGATGAAGCAAATGATTATCATTGAGAAGATATTCAAGTCCATGACCTCAAAATCTAATTACGTTGTGTATTCTATTGAAGAATGCAATAACTTGGAGACTTTGACAATATATGAGTTGCAGAGCAGTTTGGTTGACGTCACTATCATATCAACAGTGGAATCATGTTAAATTCTCGTGTTGCTATTTTTGTGAACTTGTCATATGCGTAGATTCTAACATATCTTGTTATTATCTACATTATGGGTTGTTTATCTTCGTTAGAGTATTTTGTGTAACATCTAGATCATCGTTATCAACATTCGTTGTCGGGTTTGTTATGTCCTTGGATTTCTAATAGCTATGGGATCTTAGAAATCAATTGCTAGATATGAATTGTGACACACCCATTTCTAACAAGTACATGTTCAAACCGTCCAACCCCGAATCATACCAACTTCAAACCGCATTGAAGGGCTCATATTATAAATTTGAAGAGGATCAAATTATGAACCATTTACCCAATACATACCTGATAAGCATTTATCGACAAGAATCACACTTTCATTTTACTTACTATCACTTTGATATTGTTTGTCCAATAAAGTACAAATAAGCCGGTAAACGATTAGTAAGAGCATTTCTAACAGCTTCTTCAAAATAGATAAAATAAAGAAAAATGAGAATTTTAACATAAATAAGAAATTTTGAAAATAAATATTTAAAAAGAGAAATAATATTTTAACATATGAATTATATTTTCTATTTCATAGAAATTCCAAGGAGTAGAACGGTAATTAATTCTCCACGACCACTCCGCGGGGTACCCCAGCCTCCAACGTGATTACAAGTTGCCTCCTTCAATCTCACTCAACCCCGTTTGACTACAAGATCTGTGACTCCGCACCAAATTTCTCGATCATCGACGGCTAAAATAGCAGTGGCGACACCTACAATCTGTTGTATACGTTTCATAATTTGCATTACATCAAATCCATCGTTCACCCTAAATCGAATCAGCTATAACTACACTATCCGGGGATCATGAGTTCTCCTTCAGTAAGTCCCTATTTGCTGTCGTATAAATTTCATCAATTTTCGTTTCCATTGTAGATTTGGTCTGTATAACATAGAATATATTGAAAATTTTGCCAAGAAGGTGACCAATTACTCTCGTGATTTGTTGTTTGATGATTGGTTTTTGACGGTGTTGGTGGCAGGGTGCGAGCTTGTTTACAGGATTTACGAGGCTGTGTAAAGGTCTAGCAGTAGTACTTGTTTGTGGATACATTGCTGTTCAGATCTTCCCTTCTGTCCTTACTTACGTTGCACTAATTCCTGCCAGGTAAGATTGATTTCCCTTAACCATACAGTTGTTTGAATTTAAAATTACATTTAAGTTTTTGATTGATTGTATTTCCTGCGATGCTGTATATGTATTCGACTCAACATTGCGTTTCTATTTTATCTTATATGCAAGATCTTATGGTCACTTTACTTAAAAGAACAGTGTTCAGCTGGATGTTTATGCAAGGGTTTTACACAAATGATCTAGTTAAAGAAGTTAGATCATGGGTGATGGCTTTTATGAGGTGTGGTGTTGGCAGTTAAAAGGATATTCTAGGTGAAACTGCATGAGTTAATTAATTAAGGTAGCCGGTAATGCTATGATGGCTAGGTATATGGCATGACTGTGGTGGAGTATCACCATGTGCGATGCTCACTGATATGTTGAATATAGAGAAACTATCTCTTGCGTGTAATATTCATGACAATGGATATCTTCCTAATTAGCTAGTTGATATTGGGGTAGTAAAAGAAAAAGGACATCCAAAAAATTTGTTGACCACTTGATCTTGATGTGGAGAAAGTCAGACATAAGGATATCGAGGATAATTTTATTATAATTTCTTGTAAGTAAGAGCAGTTCTTTTAATTGCTATTCAAATAATAAAGATGGAATAAGCTTTTGGAACTTCCCTATGTATTATATACCCAAAGGGGTCAGGACTTCTTTTTGTTGAATTGATATTTCTTGAATAGTATAGTTCAACCATGTATATACCAATTCTTACATGAATGCAGTTGGGTTTTGGAGGGATATCCAGGTCAACTTAGCTTTTGTTTTGGGATGATCTAATAATTGTCAAAGATCAAGTTACGAGCTCTTGTCAGATTTTTCTAAAATATGTTACCTGTTCCTTTTGTTATCCTCTACTTATATTGATGTTTCACTGATACCACAAGTGCCACTTAGAAAAACCACTTATAATGAATATCTTATTGAATCTTGAAACATTTGGGCTGGAGTTAAAACCTAAAATATTTCTTAATTTACATGCCAACTATGTGTTCTTTGCTAACAAACACAAAGCCACATTGTGGGGACAACTGGCCTTGGACAAGCTTGACACATGGCGCCAAATCCAATTACATAGTTAGCATCGCTTGAATTCACTCACTTTGCATTGACTGATAGGTGCATGCTCACCAATATAAATAACTAATTACTAATGAGTAATGAGGATGGATATTTGCCCAACCGGATAAGAGTATGTGAAACCCTACATACTATTGATATTTGGCTAAGGTATTAGTGGGAAATGCAGATGCTACTTTGTTAAGGTATTTACCATCCAAATAAGAATGGCTAGATTGTATACATTTGTGGGTGTTWTAGAGAAAGGAAAGGAAAGAGATTGGTTGTTGGGGGGGGGGGATGTGTGTATGTGGTGGGTTGGGGTTAGTCTTCCGTCACATTTTTTTTCTCACAATAATAGAGTACATATTTTACCCACCTAATAGTGTCATGCAACATAACAGAAGAAATAAATGGGGGTTTGACAAAAAGTAGTAACCAAATTTCAAAATAAAGATCCAAACTGCACCTTTGTTATAAAGGAAGGTTTCTGCAATTTAGAAGCTTAGTCTGTAGATGCTTTATGTAAGCTACCCTAGTATGTTCTATATGCGGTGTATTTCGTGTGAAGTGGGATCATGATATAGCAAGGCTTCTTTTCTTTGTGAAATTTCCAGAATCCAGAGGGATGTCTCTGTCTCTATAAATAAATGAGGGTTTTGACAAGAAGTAGTAACCAAATTTCAAAATAAAGATCCAAACAGCACCTTTGTTATAAAGGAAGGTTTCTGCAATTTAGAAGCTTAGTCTGTGGACGATTTATGTAAAGCTACCGTAGTATGTTCTATATGCGGTCTATTACGTGTGAAGTGGGATCATCGTATCTTCTTGTCACAGTGCAGTGGCATTATTACATTACCACTTACCTGGATGGCTCAGCCCTGTGCTTTATTATGTATCGAATACCATAAAATCTCTATAAAGTGAAAAGGCAAGTATGAAATGTAACTAAAAGAGAAGAAGGGGGGGGGGATAGATCGAAAATGCAACTCAAGAGTTCATCAAATAACACAAAATTGCACAAATGGCAAATATTAATGTAAATACACGTAGTAATGAGTAAGTGCTGAATTTAAAAAGCGAGGGAAGAGGAGATCAAACAAAATGATTTAAATGTGTTTGGGTTGTTCCCTACATCCAGTGTCCAAGCTCTTTCTAAAATTTTCCCTTTGTAAAGTAACTCCTTTCGCAGAGCAGGATGAAATAAAGGTTTGCTAAGAATGTCCAGTACATCACATAACGCACTTGTGTGCCACTAGAAAACAACTACCTTCATCATGTGCTCAAAACGATCTTGTACCCCGACAACATGGCTACCTAAGAAAAGCTCATCCAAAGTTAGCATTTAGCAAGGTGAACTGAAGTGAGATCACTACCGCAAAACTTAACCAACCTACTACCAAAGTTGATAGGGGTTTTGGTAGCACAAGAAAGCTTCTAATAAGAGCAAATCATTAGAAAATGAAGAATTTTAGCCTTTTCTCTTTCATATGTATAAAAGTACGAAGCTCTATAAGGATGATTATCTTTTAAACTCTTTCCATGTATTGTGTATATTTGCAGTGCTTTCCACACATTTTTCTCTTGACAGATCCTTTGTAGTTGCTCTTCGGACAAAAACATATTAAACTCTTTCGGTGTATATTCGTATATTTCTAGTGTGTTCCACACATTTTCTTTTGACAGATCCTTTGTAGTTGCTCTTCGGGCAAAACTATCTGTTATTTCAAAACAATTCAAATCGACTTATTCAGGACATCTGACCTGTTACTCTTTTGAATGTCAAGTCTGCTGACCCTTTATGAATGATTGGTGTCATTTACATTTCCCATTTCCTTCTTTTTATCAATTACAGGACAATTCCTTTTGGTTGGAACCTCATAACAGCTGGCTATATAGAACAAACAGTACAAGGGGTATGCACCTTTTTGGATTTATACCTGCGATTGTCTTACCTTGAAGGAAAATAATAGACAACATAGCAGGAACTGTTTCTCTGATAAAGTGCTCCATGATATTTGCTAAACAGGTTCTTAGCAGCACAATTGGTCTTCTTTTCATTGGGAAGCTTCTTGAGCCCATTTGGGGTTCTCGAGAGTTCTTGAAGTTCATTTTCATCGTCAATTTCTTGACTTCCGTGTGCGTGTTCATTACAGCCATCTCCTTGTACTATGTAACAATGCAGGAAAATTATCTGTAAGTACTGCTAAATCCCTGTTGTCCACTTTGCCTATGTATTCATTTGAGTCTTCCTTGTTTATGCATACTTAAATGTGCTTCAGCACTCATGCATGGTTCTATCATAGAGTATCTCGATAATTGGTGAATCTGATCAACCTCTTACAAATTTGGTAGTTACATGCCTCTTTCGGGCTTCAGCGGGGTGCTTTCAGGGCTTTTAGTTGGTGTGAAGCAGATAATTCCTGACCAAGAACTGTCTCTATTAAAAATTAAAGCGAAGGTACACGTGTATGGAAGTACCCATTCAGATACCTCTTCACCAGAATGCAACTTTTTGCCTGTGAAGGATATCATAATTCCTCAAAATTAACTTCTTTTTTTGTGCATTTCTGTTTTTGGTATGCAGTGGTTGCCATCCATCATGCTATTGGTAGCTATTGCTTTAAGCTTCTTTACCATAGAGCCAGCAGCATACCTTCCAATCTTGATATTTGGCACATATATTGGTTGGATTTACCTCAGATACTTCCAAAGGAAACAGGAAACCAGACTTAAGGGTGACCCAAGTGATGAATTTGCCTTCTCTACTTTTTTCCCTGAATTCATGAGGTAATTCATCAACTTTTACTGCTCTCACTTTACCTTTTTTCATCGAAGATCGACCCTGAGAAGAGCATGTGATGTCACCATCCCTGAGTTCTACTCCCTTCATGTCCCAAGAAAATTGAAGTGTTCAATAGTGCATATAGTTTTGGGCACTTTTTGGCTATTGGTCAAACATAAATAATGTGAACCTAAAGCAATTTCAACAGTTCTTCATGAGGATGACAATGTTAAAACATGCCATTGTGACTAGAAAACTCTCATAATTGGAAATGTTGCAATTTTCACGAGACATCCTATGGTTGCATTCTCTATATTCCTTGAAAATTTCAACGTTTGAGAGGACTTATACTTCTAGGAAAGTGTTTAACTACAAATTAGTTACCTAAAACATTCTACAATAATGACAAAATAAGAGAGTTATGGGCCGAAAATAATGTCATGAAACTTTTGTAATGATGAAAACTGGAAACAAACCATTATCACCAGAAAACTTTCCAAAAACGGAAAGGATGCAATCTTCATGGGACATCCAAAATGAAAATCATTACAATTTTCGTCGACTGGAGTATGATACTTGTACGACCTTCCCTATTTCTTACAACTTATGTTAACTTGTTGGATTTGCAGACCAGTGATTGATCCTATCGCTTCAATATTTGATCGGATGCTTTGTGGAAGATCTGAAGCATCCAATGATGCTAGGGGCTACACAGTCGGCAGTGCTCCATTGCCTGGTTCTGACCCCATTGAAGCAACTAGGAGAAGGTGACAACACCAATTCAATCTTACTATTCATATACAAAAGTTGCATAGACTTTACAATTTTGGTACATATTATCAACTTTAATTGTTTTCGACATAGAGAGTCATCGACCTCCAAAGCTGTATTTCATTTTCCACAAAGAAAGAGGCAAGATGAACCGGTAACAATAAGGGTTAACTACCAAAACACAAAATTATAATTAGAGATTTACCAAATTGACAAAAGTATTTGTTCTAGAATGTCTAATTGCTGAAGAGAACAAGGTATATTTGCCAAACTAGCTAAAATTTCCAGGGCAAAATGCATCAAAAATGCAACGAAGTTTTTCTTAGTTCCTATTTAGTGTAACAAATAACTTTTTTCTCCATCAATATAGCAAAGTTTCAAAAATTTCTATTTAATATAATAAAGTTCCAAAATTTCTCAATTAGTACCCATATTGATTGGTAACCTGTTAATCTTGTAATGTTTGGTGACATGGATGTCAAGTTTATCATCCACTTTGTCATAACAGGATATCCACGTCGTCTAATGTTATAATATCAGCATGTTATCGGTCAAAATGGATACAAATTTGGAAATTTTGAACTCTGTCACATCAACCGAGAAAGAAAAAAATATTGGTTACACTAAATAGGAACTATACCAAACTTTATTGCATTTTGACGCACTATGTCCACAATTCTACACGGAAACCTTCATATGTCTTTGGTAATTAACCCCGTTATTATGTCCTTCCGGAACATCCATATGCACACCGTTGTAAAATAATTACTTGTAATTTAGAGGATCATTTTTCTCATGGACCGATTGTTCAACTGCAGGGAAAGGGGTGCCCGAGCATTGGAGGAACGACTGGCAACAGAGAGATTAACAGCTGTAGGAGCGAAGAGCAAGACAGATGAATCCGATATAGATGCAAGTGAGAATGTTTAACTATATATGCAGAAAAAATCGGAATTCATTGAGTTTGGGTATGTGTAACTATTCGTCTATTTCGCTTGCTTTCCGATCACAGCAGTGAGTGTTTTAGCCCGTTGACCTTGGGTCACGGTCCCTTATAGCAAGAACGGTGCCTTGTCTGTTTTGTCTTTTTTTCGTTGGACGGTTGCACCGTGGTCACGTGGCTATGGCTAAAGGGCTAAGAACACAAGATGTTTGTATCTGAATAGTTGGATCATTGGAGAAGATTTGTGAATGATCTATCGTTAGTTAAAGTCTCTCGATTCATTATTACTATAATCTAAGCGTCTTACTGAATCTCGTGTGGTCTGGGTGTCGGTTACGGGAAGTCCTCCTGTTGTGTTCCTTTTTTATTCAAGTTTTTTTCGACAACGACTGATCTTGTAACTTTGGGAAAGTAAAAGACATAACATGTTACCTAGGGGTCGTTATGAGTATGAAAAGGTTCAAGAATCTTAGGGGCTGTTTGTTTTTAATAAAAAAGCTCTTAATGTACTCTTAAGTCTGAATCGGTCAGACATAAGAGGATTCAGTGTGTTTTTTTTTTTTTTTCAATTAAGAGCTTAAAAGCTCTTATTAGGTCTGAAAATTTAAGTGGTTGCGAAACCTCTTATTACCTCTTATTTCAAATCGTCGCCTACCTACTCTGATCTCTTTGCGCTTGATTTCTCTAGATCAACTCTTCTGTCTCGATCTCTCATCTCTCAACTTTGTCAACTGTCGATCCATATCAACTCTCGATCTCTCATCTTCAAACTTCATATTTCAGACGCAAAAAACAAACAGTCTGATTGATTCAGATTTCAGACTTCAGCACAACCTCTTAAAAATCAGAAGTGAATTCAGACTTCAGACTTCAGCACCTTTTAAAAACCTTAGATTTTCATTTTGATTCAACCTATTACCAAATCTTATTTGAGAAGTACTCATTTTGTGAACTGAAATTATGTTTGCCCTATAATTTAATGGTAAATGTATGTAATCATTCATGGCTCTTTGAAAAACTCACCAAAGAAAAAAAAATTAAAATATTCAAAAAATTTCATGTAACCTCCTTCTAACTTTCATGTTTTAATTTGTAGGGGGATTATTTATTTAAACTGATTATTGATTTATATAAACTATTTATTGACTTATTTTAGTGTGATACTAGTAATAAACAGTTTTTAATGTTTGGATGAGAAGGAAAAAGACGTCTATACTGGTACCAAACCGGTAATAAGGAGTTTTTGATAAGTTACTCCTTTTTGACTTATCATAAACAACTTATCAAGTTTAAAAACCAAATTACTTTTTAAACCCTAAACCTAATATTTCTCATCAGTCATGTTCGTCTCCTTCCATGCGTTCTTGTTTGTTTCACCATCTGCATCATCTCCATGTATGATCTGCATCATCTTCTCATCTCTCTCTCTCTCTCTCTCACACACACACACAGTGGGAATAACAACATAATCAGTAGAAATCAATGAAGATAGTGATTGATTGATCAAAACAAATATGATTTATGTACAAAATTGATATCGATCCACTTCTTAATTCTCTATTTGCAAAAGATGGAGATAATTGGAAGGATGCTTTGGTTGATGTCGATGAATACCTAAAAAATCATCTATGGAGATTAAAGGAGATAGGGTTACGATATTGATTGGAGATGGAAAACTGAGAGATGGAGATGAGGTTTATGAAGTTTGTCGATTGAGGTTTAAGTTTTGCAATTAGGGTTACAGAAGGATACTAATCGAAATATCGATGGATACCCAGGAAATCATCCGTGGAGGTTAAAGGAGATGGGGAATGCCGTTTTTTTTTTGTCATTTTACATATATAAGCAAAATTTGTCAAACACCAAAAAACAACTTATCAGCTTATTGCGTTTTCGTACCGTCACAAATCAAACATTTTTTTTTATAAAGCTCCAATGTAACACCACATAAGTTAATAAACACTTTTACAAAAAGACACAAGTTGTTTTAAATAAGCAATTCCAAACACCCCTTGAGAGCATCTCGAACAACTATGCTATAATTTTTCTATGATAGAGTACGAAAAGACAAAATCTCTAAAAAAAAAAATTAAATTCAACTCCAACAGCTACTCTATTTTAGCAATTCTAATATTAATTATATTAATAAAATATTTTTTCTTTCTCCTACATATTTTACTTCAATAATTTTAATTGACTGAATATAATTAAAATATTATTTTCTCTCACTTCTATAGAGTTTTAGCTATTTTCATAAAAATATGTTTTATTTTGTTATTTTTAGAACCTAATATATGAAAATTTTGATTCAACATCTATCTTATTAAACGGTCAGTTTCAAATTTATCCAAATAATTTATCACTTGTTAATTTATTTATTTATCTATACTACTTTATAAACCAGATTTATCAAAAGTTTAAAAATAAATTTTAATGCATAAAACTATACATTTATGCACAAAGTATTAAAAGTTTTAAAAATAACTCATAACGCATTAAGTATTATTACTGCATTTAGTCTTAAAATCTCTTAATCTACAATTAAAATAACATATAGTGCAAGTTACCAATGCACATTATTACCTTTTCTTTTCATGTTCCCAAGATACTTTTGACACATTTGACTCATGCCTTCACCCTCTCATACCTCTATGTCTTCTCCCAATCCCCTAAGGTGAGATTCAAACTGATATTCACCATGAGTTATTAAAAGTTTTCTTATTTATTTCTCATTCAATTGCTCTAGAACTCTCGGTCTCGCTCTCGTTCTCTTGATTCTTTGCTCTTGGTATAAATCGAACAAATTTGTGGAGTCGTTTAAATATGTTGAATTTTAAATATATTGGATTTTAAACTGTCATACAATTTTTTTTCATCGATAGACTGTAATTGAAACTATAACTCTTATTTATTCAAATTGTATTAATATATAAAGACCAAATATAACTTATATCATTATTAAATCTTTTTTAATAAAACCAATGAAACTTCAAAACTATTAAAATTCATTGCTCCCACCGTAATGTAATGCACGGATACACAACTAGTTTTTTTTTTTTTTTTGAAATGTAGCCGTGTAGATCTGAAAGAGGCCATAGGCCAGTATGGAAACTGAAATTTTGCCTAGTTGGAAAACCCTAATTATATAAAGCAACAGAAGGGGTTGCACTTGCACCCCAACTGCAGAGGGGAAGCGGATCGACTGGGGGAACGAGGGAGACGCTTGAAGTGGCGATTGAGATGCGAGGGTATTTGTAGAGGATTGACCAATCCCCTGATGAATGTTAGAAATTCAAATGATGCTTTATAGTTTTCAATCTGAAAATCCCTCTCTCCATTGCTGCTCGCTTTCCTCTTCCCTTCAATCGCTCCTCTCTGGACCTTGTGATGATGGCTGAAGGTTCAAATTGCTATTTACTGCTTTCCCTTCTTCTTCTTCTTCTTCTGTTTTCAATGATATGAACACGGCTTGAAGTTCTAAAATCAGTAGGTTTAACCGACATTTACATATTTCAATCAAATCAAACTTACGGTTAATGGTTTTGTGAACTTCTGGTTAAATTTTGAAGATTCTTGATTATGTTATACGATTTTGGCGTATTCATCGAACGTGGCCTTCTTGATCGAAGAACACGTCTATCTATCGTCGATCGTGGACATGTCTGAAATCTAAGCTTTTGTCTATGGTACGATTTTCTCTCATCGATCATTATCAATTACTTGTTTCTGTTTCCCTATCTGTATATGTTCTTGTTATCAGTCTGATTTTGATGATTTCTCTTTGAAAATTAGTTGCAAAGAAAGCCCCTGCTCGATTAGACAATGAATAAAGTTATCTGTTAATTGTGATTGAAAGGAGTTCTCTTAGGGTTTATTCAAGGACGTCCTAATCTTCGAACACTTCTTCGTAATCAACTTGATCCAAAAAGTCATTTAATCGCAATCAAGACATGTCTATTAAGTCTATCTTGTGTCACTGTAGAGAGCAAATAGGATTTCAACAACTTCAACTTTGAGAAACTTGTTTCTGCATAGGCAACTGTTGCAGCCTTGCAGGAATAATCAACATAACTCTATAAGCAATGATAGCAATAGGGAAACATTTTACATGCTTTAAATACTTTAAAATATCAATAGGTCCCATATTTTGATTTGGTAAATAATCTTGAAGTAACTTCAATTCCACATATAAGTTATTCCCATTTACACCAGATTGGTTTTGCCTTTTTAGTGCATTTTCAAAATTAGTACAAGAAGACTTCAAACACGTATTATTCAAGGAATGAAGCTTATCAGAAGTAAATAAAAACCCAAGGACACTTGCATATTCTTGGTATTGTTCAAATCTTCTATTGAGTGAAGCAATTACATGATCAATGTAAATGATTCCTTAGCAGATTATGAAGTAATTTCAGATGCATCACTCGGGTTTTTATCAAAATGTTTTTCTTTGAATTTCACATCTACGAGGAAATAATGGAATGATATTCAATTCAATAACAATTTTCTTTGCTGATTCTATGACATCTAAAAAATGTTTCTCTATACCTCTCAAAAAAATAAATCCACCTCTTAACTTGTTCAATAGCAACATCAATCAACATGCTTTTTGACTATAAACCAAATGTACTACATATAATATTTCATACCAAACAACTATTGACCCTAGAAGCTTAAAATCACCGAGCTTGTTTTGTGCTAGACTTATCTTCACTTTTAATTTTTGAATCATTATCAATTTCAGCTACTTCAAACAACTTCTCTTATATATGATACTTGTAATTTTATAGCTTTTACACTATCAATACGACTCTCTCAACGAGTTGTTGACAACGACTTGATTGTTCATTCTTTTCCATTATCTTTAAACATTTGCCATCTTTTAATAGAATTAGCAAATATCGTATATATACGTTCAATAATACCAAAAAAAGTCTCTAGATTTACCACAAGTGTTGGTTATATCACACAAAGTTAAATTAAGACTATGAGAAGCATAAAAAATATGAAATGTTTAGGATTTATATCTAATAGCTTCTTTTGTATTTCTTGATGTTTTCCCTTTATGTTTGAACCATTATCATAACCTTGTTCTTGCACATCATCTATATCTAGACCAAGACATTTTAAGTTAGCTTGTAAAAATCAAACAAACATTGGCCCGTGGTATCATTTACCTCCTAAAAAATCTTAGAAAAGTTTCCTCGATGCTAACAGTTTTGGAAGAGATATCTACATACCTGAGTATTAATGGCATTTGTTCTTGATGACTTATATCGTGAGTGCAATCAAGAACAACGAAAACATACTTTGCCTCTTTTACCTTCTTAATTATTTCAGACTTGATTCTCTTAGCAAGTAAAGCTATTAACTCATTCTGAATACTATAACCAAGATAGTGAAAATGCAAGTCATCTTTTGTAATACGTTGAACATGACCTTGAATAATTAGGTCAAATTCGGCCAACATTTCAATCAAGCCTAAAAAATTATCATTGCTACTTTCATATAATCTTCCATTAGGGTCACGAAATGCAAGATTATGTTTTGCAAGAAACTTTACAATAGAAAAATTATTACCAAAACATTCTTCTAATGACTTTTTTCTTTCTCTATTTGGTTTTGAGCAACTTTGTTTATGGTTTAATTCTTTTGAAGTCTTAGGCACAAATCATACCATGTTTTCATATTCATTACATGATCTATGTTTGTCTCATGCTCCATAAGTCTATTGCTAAGGTGAGACCAATCCTTAAATCCATCATTTGTTAACTGACCTTTTATATGTCTTTTTTTAAAAAATTTACAGCAAAAACAAAATACCTTATCGAGCTCTACCGAATATACAAGCCAATGTCTATTACACTTTTTCTCATTCGTTAAAATTCTAGTATACCATGTGGCAGAAAATCGTTTAAAAAATCTATCTTTAAGGCTCTTTTAAACAAACAAATCTCCTTTAGGATCCTTTATAACTAGCACATCAATCATTTTAGAATCTAAAGCATCCTAATTTCTTGGATTAAATATATCGAAAGCATTACAAACATCATTAGAAGCATTAAAACATGAATATCATTCAAACTAACAATAGGGTCTACATTAGTAGCATTAGCATTAGTAGCATCAACATTAACATCATCAATATTAGCATCAACATTAGTAGCATCAATATGAGTATCATTCAAATTAACACAAGTATCCTCATTGGTAAGAGAGATTTTTGATTCTTTTATGACAAACTTGTCAAATGATCATTTTTGAGACTTTATCATCTCGAGTTCTTCTTTTCTTTTTATGCTTTTGACATCCAGACTCGTGTTTTCTAACCTTAGAAGACATTGAAACCGAATAAGTAAAAAGCAGCAAGAAACAACATAACCTGAGTGAGGAAACGTGGCTACTGATTTTTGGTTCTCCTTTGTCCCAACTCCCAAAGCTTTTGTTTTCATTGCAAAATGAGATAAAATAGATACATATTTTTATCATTTTAATGTCTTATGTCTACCATATCATTTTGAAGACAATGACAAATAATACTTGAATACAAAAAATTAGAACTTAGAAGCAACTTTTCATGTGAATTTCAAGTTAACAGTCTATAACCTATTAAGGCATTTAAGAATATTTTTTCAGAAAATTATAGAAGTAAAAGATTAGTGAATAAAATAAATGGAATTTACGTCCTCTAATTGGGGAGCTTGAATGATGAAAAGTTAGAGGCCTCACTCTCAAAATTTTGAATCAAGGAGACTTCAGGCTAGAGAATTGAGAAATCCCAAACAAACTCTTAAATTTTTGAATTAGGGTGTAGACTTTCTCAGATTTTCAAACTTGATCAGCAAATTGGTTTTTCAGATTCTGAAATGTGAGAAGCAGATTGGTTTCTAGGATTTGTATTGTGCAGATTGACAAAGTCCATATTATACAGAAGCGATTTGAATGGAGCTGTTGATGTTTTCGTTGAGCATTCAAAATCAACTCGTAAGCAATCATCTTCCATGCCTTTGGGGATTTCAATAGTTGCATACTTGAATTGGGAACATAAGTGAAGAGAACATTGAAGAGTCGGGTTGTGCTTTACTTCTTTTTGATCGACAAATTTGAAATTAGGGGAACCAGGGAAGATAGCCACTTATTGAATTTGTTTTCATTTAGAAATTAGACAGACCAACATATAAGCCCAAGAAATTGTGGGCCTTGTTTGGAAACTAACTTGTATCATGCCCATCAACGACCCTAGCTTTATGGGTTTATTGATGGAGATTTCTGGATTACTGGTATATGTGGATTTATTTTGTAGGGAGGATGTTCCATTACTTGATAAATCATGCTTTATCATAAAACTTATCCTTATGTGATTAATGGTATACATTCATTAATAACAAGTAAAACTCTAACATTAGAAGATAAATTTTGGAGGCTAAATGATCACAAATGTTGTGTTTGTGTTTAGGACCTTTCTTGTTGTTTTGGAAGAGTTTGTTTTTACTTGGATGAAAGCCTTCCCAACCATTGCGATGAATCTAACATGTTTCAGACTGATAGGGCCTATCGTTGATTTAGTTTACTTTACCTGGCCTCACCGCCTTAATCTTTCTTTTGCTATTAGCCCATTTCTAGTTTAGGCTTGAAAAAAGGGTTGGTTAGTTGTTAGGTTTGTTTATATTATATCTTATTAAGCCATTTTTAGGCATATTGTATTTGCATGATTTGTACTTGATATGTTTATGACTCATCTAATGCAACCAACAACCAACAACCAACTGATTGATCAATCCTTTAGGAATGGTCTAGAGTCATCTAAGTTCTAGATTATAGAGCGAAAAGCTACCCTTATTGAAATTAGGCATGATAATTTTTATCTCCGACACCTCATAAAGAGCCACAAACTAGCATACGTTGTGTGTAAATCATAGTGTTGTCAAATTGGGATGCTTTAGATTGTAAAATGATTGATGTGCTAGTTGTAAAGGGTCCTAAAAGAGATTTGTCTGTTCAAAGGGCCCTAAAGATAGATTTTCTAAACGATTTTCTGCCACATGGTATACTAGAATTTTACTGAATAGGGAAAAGTGTGATAAAGATTTGCTTGTATATATGGTAGAGCTCGATAAGGTATTTTGCTTTTGCTGTAATTTTTTTAAAAGAAGATATATAAAAGGTCAGTTAACAAATGATGGATTTTGGGGATTGGTCTCACCTTAGCACTAGACTTAAGGAACATGAGACAAGCATAGATCATGTCATGAATATGAAAACATGGTATGATTTACGCCAAAGACTTCAAAAGAACCAAACCATAGATAAAGTTGCTCAAAACCAAATAGAGAAAGAAATAAGTCATTGAAAGAAAGTTTTGATAATAACTTTTTCTATTGTAAAATTTCTTGCAAAACATAATCTTGCATTTCGTGGCATTAATGAAAGATTGTATGAAAATAGCAATGGTAATTTTTTAGGCTTGATTGAAATGTTGGCCGAATTTGACCAAATTATTCAAGATCATTTTCAACGTATTACAAATGATTACGTGCATTTTTACTATCTTGGTCATAGTATTCAGATGAGTTAATAACTTTGCTTGCTAGGAGAATCAAGTTTGAAATAATTAAGAAGGTAAAAGAGGAAAAGTATTTTTCCGTTAATCTTGATTGCACTCCCGATATAAGTTATCAAGAACAAATGTCATTAATACTAAAGGTATGTAGATATCTCTTCCAAAACTGTTAGCATCGAGGAAACTTTTCTAGGATTTTTAGAGGTAAATGATACCACGGTCCAAGGTTTGTTTGATGTTTTACAGCAGAATTAAAGTGTCTTATTCTAGATATAGATGATATGCAAGGACAAGGTTATGATAATGGTTCAAACATGAAGGGAAAACATCAAGGAGTACAAAAGAAGCTATTACATATAAATCCTAGAGCATTTCATATTTCTTGTGCTTCTCATAGTCTTAATTTGACTTAGTGTGAAATAGCCAATACTTGTGGTAAAGCTAGAGACTTTTTTGGTATTTTTCAACGTATATATATGATATTTGCTAATTCTACTAAAATATTGCAAGTGTTTAAAGATAATGTAAAATGATGGACAGTCAAGTCGTTGTCTACTACTCGTTGGGAGAGTCGTATTGATGATGTAAAAGCTATAAGATTTCAAGTATCAGATATAAGAGAAGATTTGCTTGAAGTAGCTGAAATTGATAATGATTAAAAAATTAGAAGTGAAACAAAGTCTTTAGCACAAAATGAGCTTGGTGATTTTGAGTTTCTAGTGTGAATAGTGGTTTGGTATGAATTATAAAATATTATATGCGGTAAATTTGGTTAGTAAACAATCACAATAAAAAAGTATGTTGATTGATGTTGCTATTGAACAAGTTAAAAGGGTTGATTTATTTCTTTGAGAGGCATAGAGAAACAGGGTTTTTAGATGCCATAGAATCAGCCAAGAAAATTGCTATTGAATTGAATATCGATCCATTATTTCCTTGTAGACGTGAAATTCGAAGAAAAAGACATTTTGATGAAAATCCTAGTGATGCATCTGAAATTACTTCACAATCTGCTAATGAATCAGTTAGAGTTAATTATTGCTTGTGTTGTTGATCATGCAATTGCTTCACTTAATAGAAGATTTAAACAATACCAATAATATGAAAGTGTCTTTGGGTTTTTATTTACTTCTGACAAGCTCCATTCTTTGGATAATACGTGTTTGAAGTCTTTTTAGACTAATTCTGAAAATGCATTGAAGAGGCAAGACCAATATGATATAGATGAAAATGACTTGTATGTGGAATTGAAGTGATTTCAAGATTATTTATCAAATCAAAATATGGGACCTACTAATATTTTGAAGTATTTGTAGCATGTAGAATGTTTCCCTAATGCTATCATTGCTTATAGAGTTCTGTTGACTGTTCCTGTGTAATTGTAACTGTTGCTTCAGCAGTAAGAACTTTCTCAAAGTTGAAGCTATTGAAGTCCTATTTGTGCTCCAACAATGACACAAGATAGACTTAACAGACTTGTCTTGATCGCGGTTGAAAATGACTTTTTGGATAAAGTTGATTATGAAGAACTCATTGAAGACTTTGTTTCTAAGAATGTTAAAAGCATGATTTTGTTCAGGTGAATTTCACATGTTACTTTGTCAATTTAAGCATTTCTGTTGTTTTATATTCTAAGACTTTTAATATATGATGTGAACCTTTATATTTTGTCTTGTTTATCACTTGTTTTAGATGAACTATAATAGTAGTACGTGGTAATAGGTGTAACAGGGCCTCCAAAAAGATTAGGACGATCCTGTATCTCATTTGCTCCGAGTATTACGTAAAATTCGTTATCATTGCATTCGTACTAAATAAAGAAGTTGGGATCATTCGTCGTCTTTATTTCATTATTAGGTCAACAAACATCATATATGAATTGTATGAGTTTGAAGATTAACATAATCACATGCTTATAAAAGAGCTACATATCCCCTTTGCACGAAAAGGAAAGCAACTTGATTCTGTCGATCAAGAGAAGGGTCAAGAATCTTACCAGGCAGGAACTGCAAACGTTAATTGGTGCACCATAGACACATAAGTTGCAAACATCTTTGAATGGTGGTTATGAATATGTTGGACGTACTCTGGATGAGAGGGGTATGAACATGCTCGTTGGTGGATGTGATGCGAAAACGTTGGTTTAGTTGACGATGAAAACTAGAATGAATGTACCCGACTTCTTTTTTGTATACAAGTGCAATGATAGCGAGTTCCTTCAATATTTTGGGTTGAAACCCGGATGTTCAATAAATCGTAGTCATACACGTATATACTGTAGAGCATATAGGGAATCGGTACATCTTGATCGATTAGTTGTAGTTATGGACAACGCATTCTTCGATATACACGCTACTTATTTACCTGGGCCGAACGAAAAGTCCGTAATATCAACCTCATGTTGGGTCCTCACTGGCCGTGGTCCTGTTGGCAATTCAATCGAGCTCGACTGTGGTGCTTGAATTTCGTTTTCTTCAAGATCGTGTATGTCGTCTCTTCCAACGTCCCCATCTTCTCGATGGTTATGCCTGTGGTTCGAAGGAGACTCGTTGGCCCAACCTTCGTGCTCGAAATTCGAGCCTCTTGGAGAATTGGAAGGGCTCTCAAGACTATCTTTTGGGTATCTGTGCAAGAGATACATTGGAGATGTGCTTCCATGGAGTGGGGTTCCAGGTCTGCTTGAGAATGGTGAAGTTGGGGCTGAATGGTTGCCATGCTTGATGTTCTTTTTGGCTGTGTGGTGCCAAGTTTTTAGTGCTTTTGCTACATGGTCACTGAAAATTGTTGGTTTCATTCGTGTACCCATCTGTTTAAAAAGTCAAACCAAAAATCGAAAAAAGTCAAGGGTTGTACCGTGCTATTGCTTGTTGTACAGAGAGTGCATTGATGGATTGTACTATATAACGATTAGTGTGGTATTGATAACGGAAAACTTTACCTGTGTTACCAACGCGTATAAAGGGAGTGTCACGTAACTGCACAGGAATTGTATCACTACCCTGAAAACACACAACATATCAACATTAGCACAAGAATTAACCGCTAAAATTAGATTTGTAAATTTTTTATAAGCTCAAAGTTGTGAGTTACTGATAACATCTACCATTGTTTTAAGTTCATTCGAATGTTATTGGGCCAATTTGTTGCTTGGGCCTATGGGATATTACAAATTATCGTATCAGATTCGATCCTCAGAGACTTTGACAATTGATAATTATGACTTGCCTACACATCAAACATGAAATTCATATCCCTCATGATGGTCGTGGGACCCGTATAATGAGGGTGCTATATAAAGTGGTGTGAGGCCCTTTTTACATAATGTGTTCAAGTGTCTTTCTCTTTTTAGGGTTAGTTTGACGTGAAAATGCACGGTTATGCATTATAGGATGCTATTGAGTGATTGCGAGTTTACGACTCACCCCATTGTGATCCTGATGACAATGTCTTCAATGCGATGGTGGAAGCAAGACCGCAAGCCGAATGTATACTGCAAAAAAATGAGCACCAAATAATTATCACCATTAATAGGCGATGAAATCGATCCTAAATCTTTTCGTATCAAACTCATTCAAGAAAACATAGACAACATTCCATCTTTCAAGTGAAAATGGCTCTTACCCAACTCCACATGAAAAACGCCAGTTGAAACGCGTTCTATAAGAACCAATACGAAGAGGTTAGAACACGGTGTCAACAAAACGACGAACACATACACGAATTGACATAAAAAAATTGTGGATTAATCGACCTGAAAGAGAACAAAGTTGATCAAGAGGAGTATGAGCTGGGGTCGACCGAACCAGAAGAGGTCGTCCCCTGGTTGAACCATCGGTGTACCCTTCACCACATCAGCCATTTCATGAGTCCTCCGCCCCATCTTCGTTATCACCACTTGTAGCTTTGCTCCCACCAAAAGTATTATCTACATTGACGATCAAAAATACGTCAATCAATCAAACTCGACTTATGCTCTTCCAAAAGTTTCCCCCATTTTGACCTCTATGTTTATATACATATCAAATTATTATCTCTTATCAAATAAAATTGGTAACCGCTCATCCATACCATCCAAATTCAGACGCATTATGCATGTGATCATCATCCAAAATACACGTTTTAAAACATCATCTTTCAGAAATTCTCTGAATTGATTACTGGATACGACTCTTTCATGTGTTCACATCTATTCCAGCCTTATAAGGTCTCAAAGATTTGTATATGATCGTTCGGAAAGTATTTTTACCAGTTTTAAAAATTCTAAGCAGATCCAGTAAACCGTATAATATAATTTTTTATGATGCATTCTTGTTTATTTATAACAAATATATATTCATAAAAATAAACAAGATGAGAATAGTACTTACAATCAATGGGATGAAGGGCAGCCAAAGGTATGCATACCAATCTGTCATTATAGAATAAATGAATGTTTGATCAATTACTATTTTATTTATTTATTTGAGGTAAATAAATGAATATTAATTTATAATATTTAAATAAATAAATAAATGAATCTAAAAGGCTTGAATCTATGATTACATACCATGGGTGTTGGTGAGAAGAAGCAAAACAGCAAAGAACCATACAGTAGGACTGTATATACAAGAATTTAAGAGTGTTAGGTATTGTTTGTTTACCTCTTAATAGTTTTATTAAAAGATAATATCTGAATCGTTAAGAGGTGAATTTTGTTTTGTAAAAAAAAAAGTCTGTTTCTTAATGGTTCTAAAACCTTCTGAATGATTTTGTATATTGGGCCTCCCTTAACCATTTAACGTCCTAATCTAATTGTAAATAATTACCAAACAATTATATTTCATTTTATACGCATCTTAATCATTTTGCACCAAACCTTTATGTTGGATTTAATATTATAATTTTGATATATTTTTGGAAAAAATAAAAGTGAAACAATATAAGCAAACCTTATTCCAACGACAACTTTGAAATCTTCTTCAAGCGATCTACTGATGTATTTGTGGAAATCAAACCGTTGTGTACTCTCGGGAGTTAAATGTGCCTGTATCCAAACAAACGTTCGTCAAAATTAATATATAAATAACAATTTGAAAGAATTTGTCTGATTTCGGGTTATTTTGGATGCTTACGTTGATGAATCCATGTCTAAGGGTAAGGTAATCAACCTTTGCGACTGATGTGAAAAATTGTCTGAAAAAACAACCCTGTTTTTTTACATGAATAAAAATAAATTAATATTCGTATTTAATAAATATAACTTTAAAAATTAAGAAATACATAAAATCTCGGAACAAGTGACGTCATGAGTTGGTTGTGATATTGATTTTAATCAAATTTGTAGTAAAATAACGTAGCAAAGTCAAAGATTCTTAATTTTTTTTGATTAGCTGGAGATATTTTGAAAATAAATAAATTAAATTAATAATTTTAATTAGAATTATTGTTCCTAAGATCAAGAAAACTCAAGATTTGATCATTTATATAGCATTTGACAAAAAAAATTAAAAAATTAAAAACCATTTTTTGTGCATGAAGTACTGTTTATTGATGCATATTACTTAAAATTTAAGATTACAGGTAAGTTATGCATAAATACAATTTATTAAAACTTAATGTTTGAATTCGTGTAACTAACTATAGAATATACATAATTAAATAAAGAATAAAAGTCTCATTTTAAATATAAAAAATCTAAAATATAATTAGGATAATCATTAAGTTTTAACCAAATAATTAATTATTATTTTTATAGAAAAACTATATTATTAAACAAAAAATAAAAAAATAAATTAAAGAAATACATAAAAAACGAAAAAATTTAAATAGTGAGTTTGGTACTAATATCAATATTTTTTTTCCATTTTTATATGATATTTTCATATTTATATTTTATTCAAAATTTAAAAACATTAATCTTTTCTCAAAACCACATAAAAACGTATTATAACATCGATTGAGAAAAAAAATGAAACATTAAAATCGAGATGTATCTCGTTGCATTGTGCAAGTACCATTCTAGTTGCTAATAAAAAGTCTGTTAAATAATTATTTTAAATAATATAATAATTAAAGAATGTTTAAGACAATTAGAAATTATATGCTTGAAAGCAAGAAAAAAAAAAGTCAAACTTTCATTCCAACACACAACACAAAAAAAAGAATTACCAAAAACATTTTCAATATAATTTGTATAATTCTTTTGGGACTAATCTTGCTGCAATACAAGTAAAAAAAAAGGGTCAAAGTTTTATTTAAAAAATGGTGAAAATCAGTTTTTAATACATAATTAATGATTAAATTCATAAAAAAAATAAGAAAAATTCTTTTAATTTTAATAAATTAGGAGAAATTTAATGACAGAACATAAATAATTTATATTTAAAAATAATATGAAACAATAATTAAAATATCAAGAAATGTCAACTTTCCATTAAAAGAAAATAAATTTTGTATTGCATAGTTAATGGTCCAAAGCAAGTGGCCCTTTTTATGTGGAGGCATTTGAATCAAGTAGCCACAAATCTGTGGTTGTGAATTTGTATATTACAAATAAAAACAAAAGTCAACTTTGCATGATTTTCTTCAATTATTATTTTTTATTATTTTGGGGTCAATTGATTTTATTTATTTTTCAAGATTATATTGCAATTTACATGATTTTCAACTCTTTTTTAAGAATAAAAATATTATAAATAAAATAATATTATTTTCCCTAATTGAATTATAACATTTTATAGGTAAATGCTTACGATCCATAAGAGAAGAGTCGAGTCGCTCCAAAATCTCAAATGTCGGCGTCCAAATGTTGTCTCTCTTGCAAACCTGAATCTTTCTGGATCTAAAGAAACACAAGATCAAAATATAGATTTTGTGAAGAGATATTCATCTGTTAAACTACATACATATATATATATATATATATATATATAATATAAAAGACACCAAAAATGCTGATCATGAATATAACTCACTAACCATTATGGTACTGGTATTCAACCGTCTTTGTTTCATCCTCCCAAGCCTTCCACTTTTTCATCTGTATTCATTTCCATTACGATTTTAAGAGATTTATATGTATATGTATATGTATATGTAGGTGTAGGTTTAAACAAAAATACCATCATTTTAAGAAAACGTGGGAACACCTATGTCATATGGATAACTGTAGTTAATCACATGTGATATTGGGCCTCTTGGCCTGCAAACCCCTGGTTTTGATTTTTAAAATACTTTTTAATCACATGCGTTTGACTATAATAAATTAAAAGGTGTTCTTCCGTTTTCATAAAAGTAGTGATGTTCTTGCTTGAACTCATCCCTATGTAGACGGAGGACGTGTGAGAAAGAGAGTTAAGGTGAGAAGCATAAGAAGAGATCTAGACTCTTGATCATCTTTAATCTCAAATCCATCCATGAATTGCGCTTGATACGGGGAATGATCCTGTGCGCATTTCATCTCGGTCCATCTCATCCTAATGTGCATCCAAGGGCGGAAATTCCTTCTTACATTTCTCACCTTAACTCTCATTTTCACAGGTACCCAATCCTCCACGTATATGTATATGTATATGTGGCCATTGAAGGTTTTACCTTGATCCTTCCCAAAATCAGTGTAAGAATGCAATACAAGACATGAAAAACAGCCAACACAAAAATGAATATGTGGAGTTGGTGTATCCCATAATTTGACACCATTTGCACCTTTCCCTGCACATATAATATAACTCCAAATTAAAACCTTAGGTTTCATTTAATTTACTAATTTTTTACCACTAATTAAGAATTTCAAACTAAAAGTTATTTAATACAAGAAAATGAAAACCGCACGAGCAACGACATATATACCTTTTTAAGACAAGGATCGTCGTATGCATCGTCGGCAGTTTTTTTATTACAAGGGTGCCATGTTCTTGCAACTTTACTTGGGATACATATATCAGCAATTGTTCCTTGACCAACTGTTAGTAGCAATGATATGAATCCCAGAAGCATCAACTCTGGACAAGTAGATTTCAGACAAAAACAAATTCAACAATAGATGAAGAAGTTAATGACATAGTTAAAAGACTATAAATTTACCTGCTTTGATCTTTTCAAGTGCTTCATAGAGTGCTGGCTTGTGTTTTTTATGTAACCACTGTCAAGATGTTCAACAAAATTTATTTGTTTCCATTATATATATCTTTGCGTTTTTTTAGTAAAAATATGTTTCTATATATGCGTAGAAATAAGTGTTTGTGTGCACTTATTTTAAGCATGTTTTCATTTGAACCTGTATCTATATATATATATATATATATGTTTTTAAAGAAGACATTAAAGATAGAATATGTACATACATGGCCAATGAGATGAAGGATGTATTCAAGAGCAATTGAAATGGCAAGTATCACAAACACCACCACTGCTACTGCCCATGATGGTGTTATCTCTAATGATCTCTCTTTTAACTTTACATATTCTTCCTCTCTATCCATCTCTCTTCTTCTTCTTCTTCTTCTTCTTCTTCTTTTTCTTCTCTCTCTCTCTCTCTATATATATATATATTATTGTATCTATACCTGTAACTCTCTTCCTTCCCGCTTCTACACGTATCTCTCTCTCTCTCTTCCTTTCTCTCTCTTCTATTAGAAGAAGAAGAAGAGGTGATGAGTTGAGTTGGGTGATATGAGAGATGAAGGAATGATAATTGTGTGTAAATGGAGGTTGGGTTGTAATATATATATATGTATTATATATAGGCTCATCAATAATTGATTTAAGTTGGCATTAAAAGACTTTTTGACTTTACCAAATCAATACAAACACCAATATAAGGACAACCAACATACCATTTGCTTTGCATATGGGGTTGGAAATTAAATATTATCCAATAGGAATATCATCCTCATGACTTGGTCTCTAAACTGAACCAATTTTGTGGAAATATATCATATTTTTTTATTTTATTAACCTGGATATCCAACCCGTTATGCGAACCGACTAATTTCAGGACGACCACATGTGTTTTACAGATAGCCTGAAGTTACCGTATTTGAATCTTCATGGCCACAAGAGGATTTTTGTTCTTCCTTGGATTTGAACAACCTCCCGATACTTTTTGATCTTTGGAGTCAAACTCTAACCAATCAGACATCACCATTTACCCTTTCCTTTTTGTTTTCTAACACAAATGATATATCATCATAACCTTTCCTTTTTTTTTTCTTTTCTAGTGCAACGACGAAGAGAGTCGACCATTGAAGTCAAGCATTATCAAAATTTAACTAATAGTTTCTTTCATGTTTTATGGAATATGTTAATAGTGAACAAGATCATTAAGCATCTTACTTTTTACTATGTTACAGTACTCACTCTTGTACCCAAGTATATCCGTTAGGGCTGTAAACGAACCGAACGTTCAGCGAACCGTTCGGCGGGAAGTTCGTTTATTTAATAAATGAACGAACATGAACAAATTTTTTTGTTCCTTTAGTTAAACGAATGAACATGAACAAAAGTCTCGTTCGTTCATTTATGTTCGTGAACGTTCGTTCATTTACCGTTCGTTTATATATTAAATTTAATATATATTCTTTTGATTATATACTTTGAATTCAAATAATATTTATTTATGTTCGTTTAGCCCGTTCGTTTATGTTCGTTCGTTTAACATGTTAAAGAACGAACATACCCGATTTCTAAACGAACGAACACGGACACAAAGATTTTCGTTCGTTTACCGTTCGTGTTCGTTCGTTTGTTCGGTTAAGTTAAACGAACGAACATGAACAAGCCTCCGTTCGTGTTCGTTCGGTTCGTTTACAGCCTTAATATCCGTGACTAACAGATGTGGAACACACCGAGGCAATGAAGGCCATGCTCGTCCACCCCTTTCCGCTCTAAACTTGAGAAAACACAAAATATATTACAAACCTGGTCCATCAACTAATCTGGTTATGGCGAGAACTCTAAAAGATATGCATTGGATTCGAGACACTAATTTGGGTCCTATTTTATCCTATCTTTTGATTTTTGTTCTGAGCTAAATGTAATAACGAAAAAATAATCAACTTGTTCATCACCTAAAAATCAATGATTCGGTAAAAAATATGTGTTTACAAAAATATATATCTCAAAATGTTGGTAATATAATAAACGTTTTAAAATATAATACATTATTATCATTGTTATGAAACTAGTCACGTTTTAAAATGTTTGTTGTTTACTAAAGTAAGAATTGTAGTAAAATCAATTATGTTTCATTTTTTATATTACCCACGTGATAATCTTGTGATCACAATTTTATCCCTCTATATCTCCCTAAGATTATAAATTCTTATTACAAAAAATAATCTTTTGACATGGCTTTAGTCGCAGCCAAACTTACGCCGAAGGTGCAGAACACATTTAACTTGGTTTTTGACTCATCCCCCAATATCTCCCTTCATTTATTTTGATTTGGGAAGTACTAGGAGCATCTATTGACAATCTTTGGGTCTAATAGGCTTAAATTTGAAATTGCCATTGAAGAAGTAACCTTGGAGCTTCAAGCTTTCTCCTTTTTCATTTCAAGGTTTGGTTTTAAACCTAGATTTCACCGAAATCTAGCAAGGTGAGTCAAGATACATGTAACCACTTGATACATGACGTTATTTGGAGGTTTTGTAGTTACTAGCGTCTTGATAAGAGTCCTGTGCAAGTAATATCGTTTGGTTTGGTCGTGCTCTTCTCCTACTGACTCTCCTAATGGGAATTTGAGGAAACATGACTAGATGGTGTAAAAACTTATATTAATTAACCATAAATGTTGATATTGTGGTGATGGAATATCATATATTTGAGAGTATAATGTGGAGGTTATATACTATGCATAATATGGTTTATTATGTTTTGAAGTATTTGTACATAAAGTGTTCCTTTGTGGAGATAATATGCTTATGATGATTATGTGTAATTATTATGAGTTTATGACATGAGAAACTTTTGTATTTGTGTATGCTAACCTGCGTAGACGGGTTAATAATGGAGTGGAGTTACTAGCAAGGTTAAGGAAGGCAAAAAGCGTGGCACAACGACGAGTTCAAGCCTTACACGCCACAACGAGGATGCAGCGTTTTTCAAGGCGTGACATAAAACGACGAATTTGTATGTCATATATAGAATTATATATATAGATATATGTTTTCTATATATTATCTAATCCGATAATGATTTAAAAAGAATATACATTCATACTAGAAGAAGAAAAATCATATAGATTATTATTATAAAAATATGGTTTTGATTAAATATTTAAAATATAACTTAGAAAGATAATTTTACAACTTCATTTTAACCGTGAGTCTATAACGTCTATGAATTTGTGGATGATGTGATTAGTTAGATCTACAAAAGTATAAAATATAATAAGTTAAAAGTGTAAAAACACAAAAGATAAAAAACAAAAAAAAATTTGGAAAAAAATCACGTGTTACAAAAACGCGTGCTGCGGCCTCTAGACGTCATGGCGTGAGCCATGCCTTAAAGAAACACTATGGGCCATTTCGTAATGGTGGAGACACAACTTGCGCCATATCGCACCATGACACATGCCATGGTGCTCCTTTTTGAACACTAGTTACTAGCGATAATAACTTTAAGAGTAGACACTAAGGTGGTTGGGCCTGGAGGTGAAACCCGGAGGGGAAGGCACCAAGGTCAATCCAAACCTTGAGGTGAAACTCTAGCGGATGTCAGTAGACACTAAGACGCAAGTCTTGAAATGCTACCTGACAACACTGATATCATGGCCTACTTTTACGTTCCGCCATGATCAATGAAGACTGGTCTCCCCCTACCCACGAGAATTAACGGATGCTAGGACTTGGTTATTGGTGTTTGGTGGGGGAAACCAATTGGTGTAACATGAACCATTTGAGAATCATTCTTGGTGCATTTTGTAACGTTTATTTAAGTGAATTGGTTTATTAATTGTGTTAATGCTTGACTCATTAGGCTCGTTAGCATAACACTTGTTCTTGGTATCACGTACCTCAGGTTATAGTGACGGGATCGATAGAGAGTGTCTATTGAGTGCCGATTAGAGGCACGTTGAGTAAATAACATTTTTAGGACGCCCTTACTTAGTATTTTGTAAGTTGATATTTCTAGAATTTTAAGAATGTTATAGTAATGTTGCTATGGATTTTCTAGGAATCTACAAAATTGAAAGCTCTAATTAATTAAAATATGGAAATGTATTCAGCATTATAAAATACTTACTTGAAAGATACAATGAACATCTATAAATATTAAACTCTGAAGACTGAATGATTGCTTTCTAATAAATATTTTAATAATTAATGGAACTAAAATGACAAAGAGGAATGATTAGTTAAATTTTTAAATCTGGTTGACGAATTCTCGAATTCAAATTTCCAATAATGATGCCATTTAGAAAATTCCAAATATATATATATATATATATATATATATATATATATATATAGAGGGGAGCGATCAAATGCAAACCTCTCAATTTGTACAAACCGTGCAAACTGCATTCAACCAATCATAATTTTTCATTTTGTTCATTTTTTTGTAATTATGAGAGGTTGATTAATCATGTTTATTGTGGAGGGTGTTAATCATAGATATTATCATCTTCATTATTTTAATTTTAGAGAAATACATGAAACAGTTTCATTAATGTTAGAGAAATACATGAAACAGTTTCATTAATGTTAGAGAAATACATGAAACAGTTTCATTAAGTATTATATGAAACAATTTCACAACCATATATGAAACGACTTCATCAAAAAAAGTATTATATGAAACAATTTTACAAGATTAAACAATTTCATGAAAAAATTTCATAAGATTAAACAATGAAATCGACAGATAAAGGTGGTTTGCACAGTTTACACAAATGAGGGCGGTTTTCATATGATCACTCCTCTATATATATATATATATATATATATA